CACTGTGGGATAATGCACTGGACCGCAAGGTCGTTTTGAACCACAAGGTTGGTGCTTCAAATTCACCAGCTGCTCCTTGGAAACAGGATCGCTATGAGTCGGAACCGCCTTGGAGGTATTTAACAACAACACAACAATATATCTCATTACAGGCCGTCTTCAGGAAAACTTGCGTCTTAATTTCTTTTTCATTATCTCTTTTCTCGGGTCAACTCTTAGTAGCTGGACAAACCACCTGATCAGAGGATTTGGAAGATAAAATTCAGTACTTCTATGATCATTTTAAAACGATGATCATACAAGAAATCCTAATAAAGAAAATGAATTCATCTTTTTATTGAGCTACATCAGCATCGTTGTCATAAACACTCCAAGTCTTGATCCGCTAAATTCAGCCGGTCCAACCTCCGCCTGCTGCCCAGGCCACACCTCCGTTCTCGGCTACAGCCACTGGCTGACCCGTGGCCTAGGATACTCCGGACTCTGCCAAAGGCCCGTAAAAGTAACCTAGTGTAAGCCTCTCGCGGGATCTGGGCCTCTTTGGTGAGATTTCGGGAACATAGGCAAAGTAGTATCTCGCGAGACGTTGAGCCGGAAAACGACTTGATTGGTAATGAGTTCCAACGGATCCAGGAAGTCTGAATAATGTTTTTGCTGTTTGCAGGATTTTACATGCCGGAGGAAGTAGATGCGTTGTTTGGCAGCTCCTAGCGGGATGATGATGACCCGGGTGAGGGCTGGGGGCGTCTCCTACTGAACTAGAGCTTTTTGTGCGGGGCCGAGGTGGCGCGGGATGGGGAACTTCACCTTTGGCTGCCCCTTTGCGATTACGTGTTTCTTTGGCTTTACAGCCCAGCTACCTGGAATAATGTTGAGTGCGCTGTCTCCTGCTTCCTCAGAAACGTTCCCTGTAGTATTCTCTGAAGGACTCACCTCTGTCCCCAGTTAACCTGCTCTCCCCCAAGTCCAGCCTTCAGATTTCTAATCCCTCTTCCTTCAGCTTCCAACAATAGAACCTCCGGTAGGGCTTCCCGCTACTTTAGGACCCGGGGCTTATTAACCGATAAGCAAGGGAAGCACCGGTTTATTTGCGATTATTTACTGATCTGTGGTGAATTTGAAATTGTTTCACTCGGTTAGTAAATAAACACAAATAAGCACGTGCTTACCCTGCTTGCTGTGTATTTTATCCCTGTCACGGATTGTGGATTTAAAACATGCTTTGATATGGTGTTGGGAGAACTAGATGCTAGCCATACCTTGCAGCAAGTTCTTTTATGTGATGGGAGAAATGTGAAATTGTTCATTACAGATCACAGTGCACCTCTGCTTTTTGTGTAATCCGACATGTCTAGAACACTATTACATAATGTTAAGTGCGGTTGCGACAGTTCTGACTCAGTTGTTGTTATGTGCCCTGGAGTTGGTTCCAACTCTTAGCGACCCTGTACAGGGTTTCCGAGGCTGTAAATCTTACGGGAGCAGAAAGCCTCCTCTTTCTCCCGTAGAACAGCTGGTACTTTCGAACTGCTGACCATTAGGACCGTGAGATTAGCAGCCCGATTTGTAACCACTGCGCTACCGGAGTAACCTTTTACAGGATGTACAGCTGGTGGGTTTGAACCGCCGACATTTCGGTTAGCATCCAGGTGCTTATTGTACAGCACCACACCAGGAATTTTTCTTGGTTCAATGAATAAAAACTAAAAACTGTGTTGTAAGAAAGTTGTTTTATTTTTTTCAGAGGAACCAATGTGTTTTTTTTTTAATTTAAACATTCTGGAATGACTTTAGATTCACATAAAAGTTGAAAAGATAGAACACAGTCCATATATGCCCTTCACTCATTTCTCCCTAATGTGAACATTTAGAGAGATTTTTAAAAAGCAGATACTGCTTTCAGTGTGGCTTCATTAACACTATTAAATTCTGCTTTAACTTTTGCTTTACATTTAGTAACTGAGAGAAACCATTTTATTTTTTTATGTCTATTGAGTAGACTGTTTTATAGTCTTATTATATCTATGGAGAAGGATATCATGTTTGGTAAGGTGGAGGGTCAGAGGAATAGAGGAAGATCCCCAGCGAGATGGATTGACAAAGTGGCAGCATCAGTGGGCTCAGCGTGGCAACAGTTGTGAGGTTGGCCCAGAATCAGGCAGTGTTTCATTCTGTTGTGCATAGGGTCACTATGAGTCAGTACTGACTTGATGGCACCTAACAACAACAAAAACTGAGCAGCTTAATAAAATTTGTTATTTGTGATGCTTTGTGTCCTTCAAGAAACAATAAGTATTATAAAAGCGTGCTGTCTTTTTTTATAATTTGCAAGTATTTATGTTGAAATTCAATAAATGTAATATCCTGTGTGAGCTTATTTTTCTTATTATCATAGCTGAAAGCAAACTCAGAAGGGAAGCTTGCAAAACAAATTTGCAAACTTGTGTTGGATCATTTTGAAAAACAGTATTCCAAAGAACTTGGAGATGCTTGGATGACAACAAGGTTAGTATAATTTATCCTTTGGTCCTTTGTGACAGGTGAAGTAATGTGTATAGACTCTGTATAGAGTTTTTGAGGAGCAGCTGGTGGGTTTGGACTTCAGACCTTGCGGTTTGCAATTCAGTGCTGAGCCTGTAACGAATCAGAGGAGGATGGAAAGAAAGAACTTTGTAGTAATGTTGTTAAGTGCCACTGAGTTGGTTACAAACCATAACGACCCTGTATAGGGTTTCCGTGGAGCAGTTGGTGGCTTTGAACTGCTGACCTTGTGGTTCACAGCCCAGTGCTATATGAGGAGTGATGGTAAGCAGAAATTGTTCTGTCCTTGTGTCAAGCAATTGCTTTCATCCTTCTTGAAACAATATTGCTCACCAGTTTGGCAAAGTTAATTATACTGTAATGATAAAAGCTTAAAGCTTTGGTGGTATTTGACTTGTTTCTGAAATTCAAAAGATAATACAACAAATCTCTTTATTGTCAGTACTACTTTATTTTATCTTGAAAAAGAAAAGCCTAGTTGATTTTGACTCATGACAACCCTGCATTTTTCAGAGTAGATTGGAATGCCAAAGGGTTTTCAATGGCTATAATCTTACAGAAGTAGTTTACCAGGACTTTCCCAGTTATAATGAGTGGACTCAGCATAGACACTTAGTTTTCTAAAGTCAAACGTTATTGTTGTTGTTGTTAAGTGCCGTCGAGTCGGTTCCGATCCATAGTGACCCTATTTAGGGTTTCCGAGGAGCGACTGGTGACCTTGAACTGCCAACCTTGCAGTTCAAATGTCTTTGCAGTCTGGCACATTAATCCACAGTGGCACACCAGGACTCCAAACCTTATTAGGTAACCATATTTCTTCTCTGATTTTTTTTTTTTTGTGGCTGATTTGTAAATTTAATACAGAATAGAGAAATAAAAAATTAATGCCTAGAATTTGTAGGTGAAAGAAATTTAATTTGTATGTTTGTTGAGTTTTACCATTGGTCAGAATGTCAGTGTATGGGTTACTTACATTAAGTGTCTGACACCAGTTATATATCCTGTGGAATAAAATGAGCAAGATAGTCCCTGTACCCGTTCTGGTGTTCCTATACATGTCTATGGGGCTGGAGATTATGGTTACAACAAAGAAAATCACTAATTCAGTAAGTATTATGATAGAAGAAGGCACTGGTTGTTATGTTGTTGTTGCTAAGTGCCATTGAGTCTGTTCTGACTCACAGTGACTCCTGTATAGAGATTCTGAGGAACAGCTGATGAACTTGAACCACTGACCTTGTGGTTCAAATTGACTTTGCAATCCAAAGCATTAAACAATCAGTGCCATAGTACCTTCTCTTATCTAACAAAGGAACTGCCAGAAAAGCCCTGAGGGAATGTCAGTTCTTGGTGACTAATATTATGTGATATTGAGTCAGTTCTGACCCATAGCAACACAGGGTTTCCAAAGAGCAGCTTGAACTGCCAGCCTTTTGGTTCAAACTGACTGCAGTCCAGTGCATTCGCCCACAGTGCCACACCCGGACTCCTTAGTGACTAATAGAAGTTACTTTAGCAAAAAGAACCAGGCATTCTAGGCTGAGGGAAGAGTAGTGCTTATAAAGTTAAGCATTTTGTACAGGAGAATACAAGTTACAAAACTACTGACTGTATGTGTAACTTATTCATGACAATTGACAATTTCTCAGATTGTCCTTCCATTTCTCCTTGGAACAACTCAAGCATTTCTTTACAAAGGACAACTTTAAGCTTTTTAAAAAAATTTTAAACAATAAGTATTGTCTCATAAACATGATAAGATGTAAGGTTGTTCTGAGATCATTTTTGGGCATCTACAGTATAAAAACATAGCTTATGTAGTTTACCTTCAAATTAGTTCTGACTTAATGACCCTGTATAGGGTTTCTGAGTAGCGGCTGTTGAGTTTGAACTGTTGGCCTTGTGGTTAGAAGTCCAGTGCTGACTTTACAGGGCCACACTTGGAAATGGATGTCTTATTCCAGACTCAATTGTCAGATACCGTTGAGTCGGTTCTGACTCACAGCAACTCTATGCACCATAGAACGAAACCAGACTCAATAGTGAAGTAATAACTTCATGAAGTATTCAGTATTCAAAGACACTCAAATATTAAATAAGAATTAAGATATTTGAGTAACCACACCTTTGCATACTTATTGTGTCTCAGGCAGTATTAATTTACGTGAACCTCAAAACAAACTTGTGAAATTTGTTCGTCTTCGAAACTGCCCACTCAGCTACTAGGTAGCAAGCTTGGATGAGTGCCCAGGCTCTCTGGCTCAAGAATTCCCACTACTAATCCCTATTCTGTACTGTGTCTAAAACCTGGCATATCGTCAAACATAATTAGATTATTACAAACAACAACAACAAAAGGGTTTCAAGAGGTACTTTTTGCAGACTGTAGTGATCTAGATATCTAGGTTCTCATATCCTGCAATAAGTTATTTTCCTACTTGATTTCTTCAGACAGATACAGAAATTATTATTTGACCCTAAACCCTAAATTTCAGGCAGTGAAGCTTGAATCCATTTAATTAACTGCTCTTTCTGCTTCACCTGCTTTTTTGTTTGGTTTTCATGGCAATTTGATTTTTGCATAAACATGCTAAATTTTCCATAGTCAAAGACTTGTTTGCTCAACCTAGAAAGTAGTTTGAGCATGGAAAAGTTTTTTGGGTGTTTGTTTTCTATTTATTTCCAAGATGCGATATTGTGCTTTTGGCTCTATTTACTACCAGGAACAAGTGAGTGCATTTGTGTTTTTGTTTTTGTTTTTTTCTAGTTAGAAAGTAATTTTTTTCCCGATACTTTTAGTTTCCTGTAGTAGTAGGAAAGATGTAGTATTAATTTTCAAATTACTGTTTTGTGATCAGCTTTTGTTGCAGCATTTGAAAATTGGAGTTCACCCTAGTTCAAGTTTTGCTCTATTTGGTGCCTGCAGGCAAGCCTGTTAATGACATGGTTTTAAACTATGCTGTCATGTGCTCAGGCTCCCTTTGGCTACAGTCTTCTGTTTCTGAGTGCTGCATAGATTAATTTGTTTTGGCTCTCATGTTCAGCAAACTCCTTATATCCCCAAAGCATAGTTTTCCTTTCTAATCCTGTGTGCTACTTAGATAAACCAAAAACCAAACCCATGCTGTTGAGTTGATTCTGACTAGTAGTGATCCTGTAGGACAAAAAGAACTGCTCCATAGGGTATTGGAGGCTATAAACCTTTACAGAAGCAGACCGCCATATCTTTCTCCTACAGAGCAGCTTGTGGGTTTGAACCAGCAACCTTCAGAGTAGCAGCGCAATGCTTAGCCTACTGGACCACCAGAGCTCCTCGAAAGATACTGCCATGGAGTTGATTTTGACTCATAGTGTATGACAGAGAAGAATTGCTCCTTAGTGTTTTCCAAGTATGATAGATTTCTTTCTCGTGTGGAGTGACTGATAGATTTGAACCACTAACCTTTTGGTTAGCAGTCAAGCTCTTAACCACTGCACAAACAGGGCTTCTGCTGTTTAGCTACTTCCTCTTTTTTATAAAAAGTTTTTATTGTGAATTGAGTGATAATTTAAATAGCCTAGCTGTGCATTTAACTTTTTCCACCTAGGGATTCCATAGTTAATATGTTAACACTATTATTATTGTTGCTACTGTTAATTGGACTCCCGGTGTGGCGTTGTAGGATCAACATCGGACTGTGAAACACAGGTTAGTAGTTCAAGCTTACCAAATGCTCCTCGGAAATTTATACAGGGTCACTATGAGTCAGAAATGACTCGATTCCACTTAATAACAACAAACAACTATTAATTAGTCAATTCTTTTCTATTAACCATCCCATATGCTCCTGGGAAAATGAGTTGCTTTACCTTGAGTGGTTTCCACTACACTTTATTGATACTGCTGTTATAATGCTTTCAGGGCTGTATTGCCACAATTACTAACTTGTCTTCTCTGACCAATCTTGGTTGGAGCAACCAATACTTTAAGACTTGGACAAGTCACTCACTCACTGTTCAGGCAGTGTTCGAGGGAGTGCTGTTATGTACCAAGCATTGTGCTAAACACTGGGAATTCAGAGACGGATGATATTATGTCCTGCCCTCTACTGTAAAGGGAGAGGTGCAGTAACTCCATACAGTAAGCACTAGACTGCAAACCAGGAGTCTGTGGTTTGAGTCCACCAGTCGCTCCACGAGAGAAAGAGGAGGCTTTCTGCCCCCGTAAAGATAAAAGCCTAAGAAACCCTATACAGGATCACTAAGAGTCTGAACTTACTGCACGGCACTTAACAACAATAACAACGACAACACTGAAGAGGGAGAACTAACAAACATTATTGATAGACTAGGAGCTTTTGAAATTTTATGTACACTATGCGGAAAACACATCCCATTTAAATCTCACCTGCCTGTAAATACTTTTAATTTTGGGGGTGGGGAAGTGGGGTCAGAGACATTTTTCTCATTAACTCAGAGTTCATATATATATATATAGGGGGGAAAAGGGATTTAACCAGATAGTATCAGCAGAATCTGTGAATGTGGGTGGAGTGGTGTTTGAGGAAAAGAGGTGTGAACTGATTTCTATCTTGTTCCAAATTCAGTCACAGTTAAGTAGTACATGTGTCTCACAGTTAATGCCACACACAGTCAAGCCTATGACCTACACACATATCATCTCCTCTCTTGTGGTGCTATGGAGGGTCTGGAACCTCAGCCCCAGTGTTGTGCACAGCCCTCATCAAGGATTTACTTCAGTAGTTTCAGCCCCTTGTGCCTCCACAAGAAACAAATTCTAACTCAGCACTTCCTCCCTGAGGTACTATAGATGACATGTTTGGACACAGATGGCCCTTCTGTAAAAGACAAGGAGGAAGCCACCCTACAGAAGAGTAGGAGGCTCTCAGCTCGCTATTAGAGTCTCGGGAAAATGAAAATAAAATGGCTCAAAACCATACTTTGGTGCATATTTCACGAATTGA